CCGCTGCCCGTGAAGCCTGGCACCGCTCCGGCACCCCAAACCCGGCCCCGGGATGTGACCCCAGCGCCCCGACCCCAACCCTGGCACAGCCGCAGTGGCACAGCGCCACAGTCCCAGGACATGGAGCAGCACCTTGGCACCCCAGCCTGGCAGTGCCTTGGCACGGTGACACCAGGACGTGTGGCACTGCCTTGGCACCCCAGCTGATGATGCCCTGGCAGGGTGACACCAGGACTTGTGGCACCACCTCGGCACAGTGACACCAGGACATGTGGCACCGCCTCGACACGGTGACACCAGGACTTGTGGCACCGCCTCGACACGGTGACACCAGGATGTGTGGTACTGCCTTGGCACCCCGGCTGATGCTGCCCTGGCAGGGTGACACCAGGACGTGTGGCACCACTTTGGCACAGTGACACCAGGACGTGTGGCACTGCCTTGACACGGTGACACCAGGACATGTGGCACCGCCTTGACACGGTGACACCAGGACGTGTGGTACTGCCTTGGCACCCCGGCTGATGATGCCCTGGCAGGGTGACACCAGGATGTGTGGCACCACCTCGGCACGGTGACACCAGGACGTGTGGCACCGCCTTGGCACCCCGGCTGATGCTGCCCTGGCAGGGTGACACCAGGATGTGTGGCACCACTTTGGCACAGTGACACCAGGATGTGTGGCACCGCCTCGGCACGGTGACACCAGGACATGTGGCACCGCCTCGGCACGGTGACACCAGGACTTGTGGCACCGCCTCGACACGGTGACACCAGGACGTGTGGCACTGCCCTGGCACGGTGACACCAGGATGTGTGGCACTGCCCTGGCACGGTGACACCAGGACATGTGGCACCGCCTCGACATGGTGACACCAGGACATGTGGCACCACTTTGGCACGGTGACACCAGGACGTGTGGCACTGCCTCGGCACGGTGACACCAGGACATGTGGCACTGCCTTGACATCCTGGCTGATGCTGCCCTGGCAGGGTGACACCAGGATGTGTGGCACCACTTTGGCACGGTGACACCAGGATGTGTGGCACCGCCTCAGCACGGTGACACCAGGACATGTGGCACCGCCTTGGCACGGTGACACCAGGACTTGTGGCACCGCCTTGGCACGGTGACACCAGGACGTGTGGTACTGCCTTGGCACCCCGGCTGATGCTGCCCTGGCAGGGTGACACCAGGACGTGTGGCACCACTTTGGCACAGTGACACCAGGACATGTGGCACCGCCTTGACACGGTGACACCAGGACGTGTGGCACCGCCTTGGCACCCCAGCCCCGGTACTGCCACCACAGCACTCCAACCCTGGCACGCGAAGCGCTGCCATGGCACCCCCATCCCCTGGCACGGGGGGCACCCCCCTGGCTCTTCCTTGGTTTCCAGCAGCAGGAAATAAAGAGAGAGCTGTGGGAACAGTGCGTGTGCCAAGGGACACCGTGGGGCATGGGGACATCCCCGGGGGCACAGCGGGCACTGAGCGAGACGGGACAGCTTGAGGGACACCTCTGGGGACAGGGGACATCGTGGGGAACTGGGAACACACTGGGGGACGACAGAACTTTTGGGGGAGAGGGCAAATTTTTGGGGACAGGCGACACTGCGGGGGACAAGGCCTGTGCCCTCACCCAAGATGGCGGCGGTTCCCTTTTCTCGGCGCCCTCACCCAAGATGGCGGCGGTTCCCTTTTCTCGGCGCCCTCACCCAAGATGGCGGCGGTTCCCGTTTATCGTTGCCCTCACCCAAGATGGCGGCGGTTCCCCGTTCAGCTGCCCGTCCCCTCACCCAAGATGGCGGCGCCCAGCCCGGCATCACGGCGCGACGCGCGGGGCGTGGCGCGGTGAGGGAAGCGCCGGGACCGCCGNCCGCTGCCCGTGAAGCCTGGCACCGCTCCGGCACCCCAAACCCGGCCCCGGGATGTGACCCCAGCGCCCCGACCCCAACCCTGGCACAGCCGCAGCGGCACAGCGCCACAGTCCCAGGACATGGAGCAGCACCTTGGCACCCCAGCCTGGCGCTGCCTTGGCATGGTGACACCAGGATGTGTGGCACTGCCTTGACACCCCGGCTGATGCTGCCCTGGTAGGGTGACACCAGGACTTGTGGCACCACCTCGACACGGTAACACCAGGACATGTGGCACCACTTTGGCACGGTGACACCAGGACGTGTGGCACTGCCTTGACACGGTGACACCAAGGATGCGTGGCACTGCCTCAGCACGGTGACACCAGGACGTGTGGCACTGCCTTGGCACCCCGGCTGATGCTGCCCTGGCAGGGTGACACCAGGACTTGTGGCACCACCTCGGCACGGTGACACCAGGACATGTGGCACCGCCTCGACACGGTGACACCAGGACGTTTGGCACTGCCTTGCCACCCCGGCTGATGATGCCCTGGCAGGGTGACACCAGGACTTGTGGCACCGCCTCGGCACGGTGACACCAGGACGTGTGGCACTGCCTTGGCACCCCGGCTGATGCTGCCCTGGCAGGGTGACATCAGGACATGTGGCACCGCCTCGACACGGTGACACCAGGACATGTGGCACCGCCTTGACACGGTGACACCAAGGATGCGTGGCACTGCCTCAGCACGGTGACACCAGGACATGTGGCACCGCCTCGACAGGGTGACACCAGGACGTGTGGCACCACCTTGGCACGGTGACACCAGGATGTGTGGTACTGCCTTGGCACCCCGGCTGATGCTGCCCTGGCAGGGTGACACCAGGACGTGTGGCACCGCCTTGGCACCCCAGCCCCGGTACTGCCGCCGCAGCACTCCAACCCTGGCACGCGAAGCGCTGCCATGGCACCCCCATCCCCTGGCACCCCCCTGGCTCTTCCTTGGTTTCCAGCAGCAGGAAATAAAGAGAGAGCTGTGGGAACAGCGCGTGTGCCAAGGGACACCGCGGGGCATGGGGACATCCCCGGGGGCACAGCGGGCACTGAGCGAGACGGGACAGCTTGAGGGACACCTCTGGGGGACAGGGGACATCGTGGGGAACTGGGAACACACTGGGGGACGACAGAACTTTTGGGGGAGAGGGCAAATTTTTGGGGACAGGCGACATTGCGGGGGACAAGGCCTGTGCCCTCACCCAAGATGGCGGCAGTTCCACTTCTCGGCGCCCTCACCCAAGATGGCGGCAGTTCCACTTCTCGTTGCCCTCACCCAAGATGGCGGCGGTTCCCTTTTCTCGGCGCCCTCACCCAAGATGGCGGCGGTTCCCTTTTATCGTTGCCCTCACCCAAGATGGCGGCGGTTCCCCGTTCACCTGCCCGTCCCCTCACCCAAGATGGCGGCGCCCAGCCCGGCATCACGGCGCGACGCGCGGGGCGTGGCGCGGTGAGGGAAGCGCCGGGACCGCCG